CATTTTATATTTCTATAGCGTATTCGTTATATGTACTAGCCTGTAGGACGATTAGTCGTTGTTTTATATTACGCATCGGAGCACTATAGTTATTCATATCAATTATACATATTATTATATTATTACATATTATATCCGATCTTACATTTATTTACCTTTAGCTTCTGTATATCTGTGTACTTCAACAATTTCCATACAATTTGGTTCACTCCCAAGTAAGGATTAAAACAGTTGAATACAAAAACCTCAATATGATATTTATTTCAATTAAATGAACTGTAGAATTAAATCATTGGTAGAAAAAAGATGAATTGGCCACCTTGACATGCTATTAGTCTCTTGAATATGTTTCTACCGATTCTATAAAGTGAACACTTATAATTCATGCAGATTTGTGTACCACCTTTTTACAGACTACAAACATATGATACGTTTCCTGTAGTTTGACATTTTTAGCAGAGTAAGAATTCAGTTATATAATAGATCATTATTTTTACAACATTATTTATTTATTTATCATTGTTTATCTTATATAATTGTGTTCCTTGAATGTTTGTAATATTTAAACTAATATGTTATACTTTTTACAGGTTACCTAATGTTTTTCCGGAATGATAATGTATGGTGTTTTGATGTCTGCAGGTGAATGATTGAATGTATATAAATCTGCCATAACAACAAAAATGATAAATTCAAATTGTTTGATTATTATTTGAAGAAATACCACGCTTATAATTTCAATTCTATAATGTTAATTTCCCTATAGTAAAAATTCTCAAGGTAAAGTTACCAGGTTTTTGTATGAATGTTTAAATTGGTATTTATTTGTAGATTTGCAATTTTAATAAAACCGATAAACTAGATATGTTGTATAGAAATAATACAAACACTAAAACCTACAATTAAATTTTCTTTTGTCTATTGATTTCTTTGAAATTATTTTATTAATAAAGTTCAACTATTGCATAAGGTTTTTAATTTAACTACCAACTATTATTTTTTTTATTTGTACATAAGTTTCTACTGTTTATTCATGAACGTTCTACCATAATGCATACAATGATTATTTCAAAAAGATTTTATTTGTTTGAAATTTGTCATTACTTCATTTATTTTCTTTTTTTTGCATGTTTTTTTTTTATTATATTGCTCCTTATGAGACCTTTCTGATGAATAATATTCAACTAAATCACCAGGGTAACTTCACTTTTATCCATGTGATTTAATAAGTATGTTTTCCACCCTAAATAAATAAATGAATTGAATGTTAACTATTAAGTTATGTTGAGCCAATGAGAACTTTGCAGCTTATATTAGAATTTAAGAAAAAAATTACCTACTGTGCTTTAATTTGGAAAAACCCGGTTCATAGGATGTATGTTGCTAGTCAATATTTCATGAGATCATGTGAAATTCGTATAACATATTCAGTATTTTCAGCTTAATAGGATTGTGTAAAAACTTTTGTTGTCGTAGAAGTTAGTTCTGTTAAGTTTTAATTTTATTTTTTTGTATTGTTCTTTTATCAAAAGGTATAATATATTTTTTCTATAAAATTTATTTGATCAGTTCTCAGTTTATTTAAATAATAATAAACTGACCTTCTGTTTTTTCTTTCATATGGCGTGGGTTAATTGGTGAAAAACAAAACTAAATGAACATAAAACAAATCTAAATGAACATTCAATTAACAAAGTAACGAGAACTGTAGTAGATAGATTTACAATAAACTAATAAATTTAACAATAACAAAGACAATTATAATAAGAGCTTATAATATATTTAAAGCCGAACATGTCGCTTGTCAGGTGTCTATTTTTTGCATTACCTATTTCCCAGTATTTTTTCCACATATCCTCCATGCCATTAAAACTGTTTTTTGTTGACCAGATTGGGTTCCTTGATCTTAATCTTTTAGATGGTGCGCTATTTATGTCATTATATACATGGAGATTCACTAATTTATTGATTTTCTGTAACAATTTGACAGTTGAGAGATGTCTTTAAGCCACCGATGGGCTATGTTCCAAAGGACTGGAAGTCACTGTAGGTTGGTTACCCGGACACAGCCTGTAATGATTCGCATAGTATTATTCAACTGGGTGTCAACCTTTTTTGCATGTTCACTTCTTTCCCAAACGGGGGCGCAATACTCCGCGACGCTGTATACCAAGGCTAGGGCCGATATGCGTAGTACATTTGCTTGACAGCCCCAGCTTGTTGCTGCTAGTTTGCTAATAATATTATTCCTTGTTTTCAGTTTATTTTTTACATCTTCAAGGTATTGGTTGAAGGTTAATGTTCTGTCCAGTTTGATCCCTAGATATTTTGGAGCATCGTCATTCATTAGTTTGGTTCTAAGGACTGTCAAGTTAAGTTTTCTGTTAGCATCTCTGTTGCTCAAGTGGAACTCAATGAATTTTTTTTACATTTTTTTGTTGAGTTTGTTTTTCCCTTTTGTCACGTGTGTTCCACGATCGTCAGTTGGGTAGCCCTGAGAAGCGCTACTTTCACCAATAATTCCGGGAGGTCTTACGACGTTCGGCCGCCTGGTTTGTGCTGTTTGGCTTCGTGTTGTCATACTTATGATATCTTAGGGCGTAGGCATTCAGATTTACAGGTATTAAAGACACTACTAGACAGGGGGGGGGGACCACGAGAAGTTACAGCACACCCCCCTAACCTAACCTTCTGTTGAGTGTAATAATGTAATTTACTTCTATGATAAATGTAGGATATAGTGATTTATACTCAGTGCTTGAGTCCACGACTACAAAATTATTATAGCCTTAGTGTACACACATCATATTATACATGCACAAATCATATATTTTTGGTTCTAAATTTTTAGATAAAAAAAATACTGACACTGTGTACCACTATAGCACGTTAAATTTTATCATACCTGACTAGGCTCACATTTATGTTTGTAAAAGCTAAATAATATGCCAAACATTTGATAAAATAATTTTATTAGTATTTATAATTGATTTTATTCATGTCACGCTCTAAAAAACAGTATATATATGTTATATTAGGTAGTTAGTATGCATTAATGCATTATTATGATTGTCATTAAAATTAACAAATTATTAAATAGTCTTACCTAAATATTCAACACACATATTAGACAGCAGTAGTAGTTATTATTTAAATATCCAAATAAAATTTTAAAAGTTACTTTATTCCTTCAATCAAAATTGAATAAAATAATAATTACATTTGATAAAGTTAATAACCATTAAATTGTTGTTTAATAATTTTTATAACTTTTATAACTGTTTTATAACTCATCAACCTAATATTTATTTAAAGAACATTGTATATACCTTTTATACTCTATAGAACTCAAAACAAACATATTTCCAGTATCTGGCCCACTCAGCTACTTGGTGATTGCTGGGGCCTTTGGATATTTTATACATTGGGGGCGAGTCCGAGTCATATGTTAAAGAGATAAAAAAATTAAGTTGATTCTCGATTGTTTCTCATGAATTTTTTGATGAACTATATGGCAGTTATAAGCTGGTATGTTTTCATAATATTATGATTATTATCCTATCTTTTACGACGGTCTAAAATAAATAACTTTAAAAAACCCATTTTGTAGAGTTATTCATTTATAATATAAAGGAAAAAAACCATTTTAAAATAAGTTGAATTTTAAATGAATGAAAGCAACATATGTTTTCGAAAATTTATGTTACTAGGTATATATATTTAAAAAAAAAATACTGTTTAACTGTGAAATTATATAGTATAATTTATTTATACATTATTTTATTTAACTTAATAAATTTAACACAAAACAATCTATCTTATCCTAACCTTTTATAAAATTGGACTCGAGTTACAGTTATAATATTAGTTGTGCATGGGAAATAAAATTTAATAGATAAGAACATTTTTTGTACAGGGTCCTTTTGCAAATTATTGTGCCAGTGGCTCAATCATTAGCCAGATCATCACTGCACATAGCAAGCCTGGCCCGAAACAAATGCAGTTTTGCTCTTATTGATTTTTAGGAATTTTTTTTCAAAACGTGCTTAATGAAAAAATTATAATGTGTAAATAAAAACTTTATTTAAATATATTACATTTAAATAGTTCAATAGTTATATACAGTATAAAGTTGAAATAAAGTTGCAATAATCAAATAAAATTATAAAACTATTAATAATAATGATGTCACTTGAATATTCTGATCAAATTATTCTAGATTCAAGATTCATAGATATCAGTAGACAATAGTTTATAATAGAAAATAGTTAAATCTTAATACTTAAAAAATATATACTTGTCATTAAATTATTAAGAAAAGAAAATTTATCAACTTTTTATAAATTTTATTTTATAATACTTAACTTAGTTATAATAAACGGCTTACATCTAATAACTATAATAAATTGTTAATCTAAACATATGTTTTTATTTTAGCAAATGGTCCACATCTACCATGGACATCTACCGCTCTCAGAGCAAAATGGTATACATATCCTAAAGCAAACATTTCTAGTTCTAAACCCATAGGCAATATTAGTGGTTCAATTTTGCTAACCTTTTTCCACATTGACGAGCATGGATATTTATTTGTCTGTTGGCAGGCAAAGAGTTCATACATTTTGATTTTTGCTACATGCTCAGTCAACCTTAAGTTAAAAGTAATTGTCACCGTATTTCCTGAAGTTACAATCTTCATATTAGGTTTGGATGGCACTTCTTTCCACCACGGTTGAGTATTATGTGGTGGCGTACTGGGATAAGGTGGTGGATACACAAACCTTGAACGCTTGGAAGAAAAATGATAAACATACCTCTCAGGAAGTTTTAATTTATTTAGTGAAGTACGATTTGATAAATCTGTTGTGTTTGATAATTGTTTACTTATAGCTTCACAATTTTTGTCAACAGTTTCCTTATTTTCAGCTTTAGAAGGAACCTTAGCATCTGCAAGCATAGACTTTGATTCATTTACAGTATTGATGTTCTGTTGAAGTATAGTAATGGATGAACATTTTTCATTGCTTAAAGTATTTCTGGCTTCAGTATTTGGGAGCACTTTATCGTTACTATTGATTTTGACATCCGGTGTAGTAATATTTATTTTTGATTCCAGGCCACTGTTATTTGTTACTAATAATTTCTCGGTTGGCAAATCTAAAGCAGTTGAATCAATGATATTCATTTGTTGAATTTTTGACTTATCAGTTGTGATGATGGTCTCATCTTCTCCATCTTTGTATTCATGTTCCTCGTTAGAATTTCCGTGTGCGTTAGCCCTAAACAATTGTTAAATTGTAATTTAGAAACTATAATATATTTAGATTTATGGACATTTATAAACAATTTATTTTTGCATGATCAATCTAATTAACAATTGAAGTTATTTTTAACTTTTGAATTCCATATATAAATATTACATAGATTTATTAAATATTGTTTTAAAAAAGGAGGCAACTGTTCATACAGTATATGTCAAATGTCTGTTTAGCCTCATTATCTAGCCCAGCCATACTCAACTTTTTTTTTATTTGGGCCAAATAAAATGTTTTAAAATATTAAGCGAGGTGCAAGTTGAAATGAACGGAACAAGGGCTAAAAAAAAAAACTTAAAATACATTTATATATTGTGTACTACATTTGAAAATTTAGTTAAAAAAAGTTAAATATTTTGTTTAAATTAGTGTACATTTTGATGTTTATATACCAAAAACATAATCATCCTTATCGCAATCGCTTAAGACACACTTTGATTGTTCTGTTATACTTATTTTATACTTATATTAGTTTTGAAATGTCTTTATCAATTCAATGAGTTTTGCATGCAACTCATTCTAGCCTGTGGCTGTAATGCATATTTTATATTTGAATTCAAAGGTAAATGATTGCATATGAAAAACGATTCTGATCAAAAGTAGACTACTTTTATGTTTGTCTATATCACCTACACCTTCTAAGCATATCTTAAGATATATTTATGTTGCTAGTAAAGTGATTTATTTTACTTTAACTACTACAATAGTGAATTAATTTTCAAAAACTGTATTTGAAAATAACTTTGTGAATATAAAATAGTCATTATCCAATCAATATATGTAAATGTATATATAAAATGTCTATGAAAAAATGTTATAATTCTTAACCACGAAATTAATTGGAATCATTATGTAATTTTGACGAATTTCATCTAAATTTTAAGTGTAAACACTATAAAAGAATATTATGACTATGTGTTAGTAGTGTTTTTAAATATATTTAATGGTATTCTCATGTACAAGGAACTCTATTAAATTTTCAAGTTTTTCGAAACAACAAAAATTTGTTTTGACATTTATAAAAAAAAATTTGAAAATGTCTACAAATAGCTGAAATCAACATATTAATCATGTATTGAACATGCTAAGTGTACAATTGTTTGTTTTTGAATTTTACCAAAAAAACCAAAATGATGTTGTCAAATACAGTTTTTGAATAAAACATTTTTTTCCAATTATTTAATAATGTACTGTGAATTTTTACTTTTGGCCCACTTAAGTACTAACTAGATCCAATTTGGTACAGAAACCACATTAAAAGGTAAAAATCGAAGCATTTTTAGTATCCCGTATGGTGATGATAGACAGAAAAAATCACATAGGTACCTACATCATTGTAAAATCAATACATTCATTACTCCAAATCTAAATTTTTTTTAAATCATCAAATCGTGTAAATAATTACTTATAGTAGATATTTTAATAATTTATATACATAACTTACATGTTTAATATAATGTGTAGTGGTTCTATGAAAATATTTTGAGCGCACGGAGAAGTAGTATTGTCTGTTGACCTTTTATAGTTTGTACGTGTGTTGCTGACTAAAATTGGCAAATGAAAAAATGTGGCTTCAGTTATCAGCTGTCACTGACTGTACACGAGGTAAAGACAATCTGATAGACGTCACGGCACTCGGTTGGACGACAACGATTCGTCAAACAATTAGGTTTAAAGGTTAACACGATTGGCAACGGCAGTACTGCGAATTAATATTTCGTTGTTACATCACTGTATTCATGGATTTAATAGTTGCGACGTACACAAGGACACGCGGTACGCACTACACAGAGCCCGGGATTGCGTATCAGAGGGGCCGGCGTATGACGTTGTGACAGGAGCTCAAACATTATTCCTTAAATTCAATAATGATTTAAGCAAGACAGTTTGTCAGAGGAGTAACACGATTACACGACGATGTGACACATAATAATTCAATAATTCAATTAAAAAAAAAAAAAATCAGTTACAGTCGCACACTCGCACACCACTTTTATCAGCTCCCGATAGCAAAGTCGTTAGTGCTTATCGTCGTGCCCAGCGCTCGATGTAATATCTAAAACCATCGGTAATGTATAACTTATCGTACATTTCAAGGCTAATACGTTTTAATACTAATTCTTAAATATTGTATTTAACCAACTACTAAATTATCGATTGTCGTGTCCTAACACCAGGGGAACGTCGCATACGTTGACCCTTGGACTCAGATAACTATGCCTACTAATAATAAACCTTCAGCTATACGCACCGTGCCACCTATAAAAATAATTAAGAACAAAGTCGTTAATAATATAAACACAGATAACAACTCACAGTCGCAATCAGCAGCTAACAAACGTTCTCTACCTTCTTCACCGATCACCCCCTCTAACACCGCCAACTCCTCCACTACTACTGCTACCAAGAAATCAGGATTCTTTATCTCTCCAAACCGCTACTCTGTCCTTGCCGATAATGAGACCTACTCCACCAACTTTAACGATAACAATCCAATTGACGTCGACACACATAGCCAGGGGTCCATGCTCTCTACCAAACAAACACAAAAGAAAATAGATCTGCCACCACCAATATTTGTTGAAGGCGTAAAAGATTTATTCGAACTATCCAAAGAACTAGCCATTATCACTGGCAAAGATAGTTTCAGCTGTAAGTCAACATTTTCGCACCTTAAACTCCAGCTCGACACCCCTGATAACTACCGAAAAATAATACACTTTCTGAAAGACAATGATGCAGAGTATCACACATACCAATTAAAATCTGATAAAGCTTTCAGAGTAGTATTAAGAAATCTCCATCCATCGACTCTCGTATCCGAAATCTCAGCAGCAATTGAAAAAATTGGTCATACCGTCAGACAAGTCACCAATATTATTCACCATTAAACCAAAATCCCATTACCTATGTTCTTTGTAGACCTTGAGATCGAAGAGAATAATAGTGATATATTTGATGTCACATCCATACTTTACACAAAAATAAAAGTCGAAGAGCCACACAAACAACAGATTCCACAGTGTTTAAATTGTCAATCTTATGGTCACACTAAAAGCTATTGCAGCTATACTCCACGTTGTGTTAAATGTGGCGGAAATCATCTCTCCACGAACTGTTCCAAGTCACGCGAAACTCCTGCCACCTGCGCACTGTGCAATGCCAACCATCCAGCAAACTATAAAGGCTGCACTGTCTATAAAGAACTCCAGCAACGACGTCGCCATCCCGTGAGCTCCAATCATGCCCGTCTACAGCATCCACAACAGCCTCAACATCCTTCAGGCGACCAGTCTATCTACCAACCAGTCAATCAACCAACCTTTCATGCCACTAATAAACCTAGTACTCGTTCATACGCTAATGTAACAAGTAACGACACCACTCAAAATAATTCTGAAAATTCTTCAGGCAATTCAAGTGTCAATGTCGCTCTGAATTTGTGCTTATGTTTTTGAACTTTTCGGTGTAACCGTTGATGCCCAGTGACATTAGAGTAGGTACAAAAAGTACCTGTAGTCGCGGGTGTGAAAATCGCCGCTTACCGTGTTTAAAGCAATTAATTGAAACAGGGACTCGCAACTTTCTCACAAGTCTATGTGCGGCACTTGAAACGTGCAGTATGTATTCCACTGAACCTCATTACTCTGTCTGTATGTCATCGTGATCAGGCTAAACACGGCGTACATTTTCTCGTGTAATTTGTTCATTATTACGGCTAGAAGATAACTTGGACGTCCTGAAAACGAATGAGAAAAAAGACATACAGAACAACAATCAATTATAGGCTACCGCATTAACTATATTGAAAATTAAGATATACATTTGAATAATACCTACTATAATAATAATTATATTTATTTGAATAAATAAATAGTTGAATGAATCATGACAAGTTCTAAATTAACCTAACCCAACCTTCAACCATAGAACATTAGTGTAATATACTTCAGCAAAGCTTTTCTTATACAGTTATAAAAGTTAGATAATTCATTGTTTATATTAAATAATAAGGATGCATTAAAAAAATAATATCCAAAACAAAACTAGGTATTAATAATTATTGAATAAATATCTTAAAAACTATACTACCCGTCTATGTCTATCCATCATAATATAGTGTTGTTATGAACCCTCAAATATTAATTCTATATGATATTTTTATGAACATCAGGATAGTGTGTCGTACGACGACGACACCTATTAATTCGCCGAGACAGCGAATCGGATGTGACTCGGAGTGTCGACAGTCGAGGCACTACGGAGGGCAGGCAGTCTTGGTACTACATTCTAACTATGCATACGTTATTTGTCATTTAATAAAATTAGATAACAGTAGTAGTTATTTCTGCAATTAAATTATTATTTTGTGTTACGTGAAATTCATAACAGTGTAACATATTTAAAAAAAAAAAACAAAAAATTGACATAATACTATGATAAAGTTATATTTTATAATACTCTTCACTAAAATTATCAACAAGAATGATGTTGTAAGCTTGGGGGTAAGATATGAAGTTACGAATCATTTTAGGGCCACGTTAAGTGCATACATAGAACGTACCAATATAAAATGCCAACTCCAAAGACTGATTATATAATCAACTTCAATCAAGTTATTGGGTCTCCAGGAACTATTGAAACAGGTACGGATATTACAATTTTTGAGTTAAAACCCACCACTCTTTTATTTGTTAACTACTACGATTAACAAGAGCATTTTTTTAAAATTTTAAATGTCTTCAGAACGAGTAAAATTCAGTAGCACAGAATAAAACAAAAGCAAAAGTCAAACACTTAAAATTGGAAGAAATTCCAAAGTATACTCATAAATTATTATATTACTCAAGAAGAAAATATAAATATAATTACACAATACCGATACAAAATATTTAAGTTGTTAATATAGTAGTTATGTCAGTTGTTTATATACTAAGCCTAGCGATTTATATTTTGGTTTTACAAAGATTTATTAATGTGTGCTTTTTTGAGTAAATATTACATTACATTTTCTGGTAATAAAATGTGTGCAAAAGTGTCATTTTATAATAATGCCGTTATTTTAAATCTGGTTTATAGAACTTCAAAAAAAAAATATTAAGAAAATATTTTCAAATTCTTAGATTTATTGTACTCTTTAAGGAGTGTCCTGTGGCGAGATACAAATTTTTATTTTTTAAATAAGAACCCCTTATTTTAACTGTAAATTATACGATGGGTAATTTCTCTGTACAATTTGACGTTTCAGAATCAAAATTTGTATGAATAGTTTTTGAGTTACAAAGATATAATGTCTATAGTAAATAATATTATAGGTTTATAACATGTGGGGACTATGGTGATTTGAAAATTTTAATCATAAATATTACTTAATCAACATTAATAATTTGTAAAAATGGCCTAAGTATAATAAATACTAATTTCAAATTTCCAATATTACATCAATTTTGTATTATAGCAATACCATTTTTAATGACTATGATTCTTGGCAAGCCTTGCCATGAACAAGTTAAGAAGTTTAATTTAAGTTAATTTAAATTTTTTAACTTCACTTTTTAAAATTTAATTTTCATTAACTTAATTTTTAACTTAGTGGATTCTTATTTATATAAACTTAACAAATAACGAGTTACTTATAATCAAATATAATTTCGTTCATTTATAAATAATTAAATAATAAATATAATAAAATTATTATTGATGATATATATTGCATAAACATTTACTTCTTACTATCTTAAACCATATAACTAGCTGCTTATAAACAAAAATAAAAATAATAACTTAACTTTAAGTTAATAAGTTAATTAAAAGTTTTCAAACAACTTTTAACTCAACTGAGCTTAAAACAAAATTATGATAACTACTAACTATTAACTTTTTAATATGTTTTCCATCAACTTAACTTAACTTAACTCAGTTAAAAATCATTTAATTAACATTAATATGCCCAGGCTTGATTCTTGGTACAAACATTTTAATAACTAAGAATCTACTCATTCAAATTTTGATAAGGAACATCAACATTTTCAAAAAAATATCCACGAAATAATTTACATCTAAAAGGGGATTCTCATTAAAAAACAGAAGTTTGCTTACTAAAAAAAATAAAGAATTTGAAAAAAAATGTCCGAGTATACTCGTATTTCAAAATTCCAAAAATTAGAATTTGAATAAATACATGATTAAAAGAAAAAATGGGTGCATGGTGAATCACTCTGTATATACTATATACATGTAATAATACCTCAATTTAATAGCTTATCATCTTCTTGGAGATCACTGTATTAATCATAATACAATTTTAAATAGCAATTAAAATAACATAAATCTTAACACGGAGCAGAGCATTGTTGCCGGTGCCCTGTTGCCACTCTTATGTCGATTGTGATTTGGTGTCGACGACAATTACAACATTTTTGAATCCTTATCATCTGCATTTGGCAATATCGGGTGACGTCATCTGCGTTCGAAAAAGCCATACGTGAACGCGTCCGTCGCACATTGGTGGCATCTGTCATTCGTCTGTACTCTATAGCGTCTACAGCCACAGTGGTACAGCAGTGCTCGTAACGACGGCTTCGCAACTGGACCAGACACGTTTGTGTTCAATTCGATATCAGTTTATAACTAAACATATAGCTGAGCGGTTCGACGTCAATCCAGATTTAAATATTCCATTGTAAATGCTCTCGTAAGTAGGTACTGACAATTTTATATTATATTATAATATTAAAATATATTATTTCGTATTATTAGTTATAGTTCTAATTATTGGTTGTAGAAATATCGATACCCAATGTAATAGGTTGGTAGGGATAATGATATAATTGATAACTAGCTAGCTCAGCAAATTACGCTGAACTAAAAATTAGAGTGAATTGGCCTTTTAATAGTGTTTTAAAATTATATATTGCTTATACATTTATACATCTTGAAATACTCATAAAACACTTTAAAATTAAAATATTATATGAATCCCATGAGATGGCCTAGATAATAATCTTACCTTAAATTGTTATAAGAGGTCAATTCTCTCTAATTTTTAACCTAACTGAGCTATAAACGTGATCTGCAGAGTGTAACATTTGCATGTTACGCACATGTAAGACGGAGACAACACATGCGGGTCTAACGTCCTCCTAACCAGTTTATGCTGCTACTTTTATACATACACAGCTTAAACCTTTTTACCTCAAGTCAAATTAATCTAGTAGTACCTACCTATCAAAATCATGATTCACCGGTAATAGTTTAGTGTTCCTTTCACATCCATTTTGCACTCACAGAGTTATCTATATTTTTTCTTGCCTATACATTTCAAATTTGAATTGACTAAGTAGTTTTAAGTAAACAGAATTTATTTTTAAACTACTGAATAACAACAGCCGTTTACATGCATTTAACTCCGGTCTCGGAGAGTAAACTAATTCGAATTAAGGTAAATCGGTGTAAGTGAGTTTGTAACAGTACCTACCTATGGTCAGTTGGTTGGAATGTATTATATATATTATAATAATTGTTATGGCTTAATCAAATTTATAATTGATTCCCCAGCCAACAATACATTTGTAAATATAATTTGTGTGTATGAGATAGCAGCTTATCAGTAGGTTTCGATATCAAAGTAGTAGTCGTGAACTGTTCGCATGCGTTCCTAACTTTGTATTGTTCATAATTCAACAGATGTGATGCAGCAGTTTTACGTAGTCTCGTTCTTTTTCTTTTTGGTGCTTGAGCAAAACGATCTAGTGTACACAGTTGCTGGCATCAGTCTTTTTAATTTGGTTTTTTCATGTTGTTTTCAAGCAACAATTCAAATACGTTCTGTATTGGCACCGTCTGTGGTCTTCGTCGACAAATATCGTTCTCTATTATTAGTCGATGACATACTTAACATTTTCTCTCCTAGTTTAGGATGATACATCCAAGTATATTTTGACTGACGGTCCATTCGTTAACCTGCATTACTGTTCTGTGATGGTAGGGTCAACCCTCAGCGTTCCCATCACTGGCAGCAAACTCAGCGTTGTCTGTGGTGAAAGGTGACTTCAGTGAGGAGGTTAGCAGTGGTACTGTGTGTGTGCGGGATCACACCTGTTATTTTTATTGTATTTAAATACAAGATTTTCAAAAGAAAAATTCGATACGTATCGATAAGGAATAGTTAAGTACCACCTCGTTTCGGAGTCCGAGTCCGATACGAGTCGGTACGTATCGCTTGTACATTGCACGTGTAACATCTTGAACGCCCAAAATTGACCCGATACGTACCGATACACTCCAAATTCTTTCTTGAAAATCTTGATAGTTACCTTCTGATCCCGGCACCACGTACCCCATAACCTCACAATAGGTAGGTGGTGCACCACAACTAAAACTTACATGTTACACTATCTGTGCCGTCTAGCCAGAATCGTTGTATTTTATAGTCTTTATATTATTACATGTTACATTATCTGTGCCTCAAGCCAGAATCATTGTATTTTATAGTTTTTATATTATTACATTGCATTATTATCTGTGCCGTCAGGCCAGAATCATTGTTTAATTATTATCTGTGCTGTCAGACTAGAACAATTATTTATTTGTACGATTACTATTTGTGCCATCGGGAGAATTTTGTTATTGGTTATTTATAAGAAAGGAAAGACGAAAGACAATTAAATGCCATCTAATTTATATGACAACAACAGCATTAATTCTATCTCACAAAATACAGTCCACTAAACCGTTCCCAAAGCCCGCCTAATAAGCTCTTTGGCCTTTAACAATAATATTATTATAATTGATGTAAATCTTGTCACAGTGGTTCTCCTTCACATGGACTCCAACGTAGCAATTAGTCCCGCAGACCAGATAGCTGCGGCCAAAGCGTCCGTAGCGCTTGTCATGAGTCTGTGCTCGTTCGCCATTGGTTTGTTGCCACTGAAGTTCGCTGATCGCTGGCGCTCATCCACGGAGCTTCCGGCACGCATCTCACGGATACCGACGGTTGCGTCGATGCTGTTGTGTTTCGGCGGTGGTGTGCTGCTGTTCATCACGCTGCTCCACATGCAGCCTGACGTATGGAAATCGGTGCGTGTGCTCCAGGTGGCCGGCCAGCTGCCCACCACCGACCACCTTAGTGACCTAATATTCTGCGCCGGGTTTTTCGCCGCATTCATCATTGACGAGACCGTGAACAAGGTGCGAAGCCGTGGACACAGAACTGGCACTCTAGCAGCCACCGCCTTCCAGCCTTCTCCAAAATTGATCCGCGGCTTGTTCGCTGTGATGGCACTGTCGTTCCACGAGGCGTTTGCTGGTCTGTCCTTTGGGCTGCAGTCCATGGGCCCCGACGACGGCGAGTGGGGTGCGTACGCCACAGTGGCCGCTAGCAAACTGATTGTCGCTTTCTGCCTCAGCCTAGAACTGGCCTGGTCTGGAGCCCGGAATCCTGCAATAGTTGCATGCTCCGCAGTGTTCGCCATCGTCACTCCCGTCGGAGTTGCGGTCGGGATGGCGCTCACCCAGTGCTGCACCGACGTCGTGGCTGACCATTCACCTAGCATCCTATACATCGTATCACTGGGACTGGCCTCCGGCTCGCTGGCGTTCTTGGTGTTCTCCGAAGTAATGCCCAGACACAAGCAGACTGGATTCATGCACCTGTTGTTCACCGTCGTCGGGTTCTGCGTCATGCTATTGCTGCAGATTTCCAGTGAGTATACAGTAAAAAAAGGTACTTGTAGCGGAGTTTACATGCGCCCTTACATAATATATCAATGTGTATGCGTGATGATATTCCATACATATATACAACATGAATAAATAAATGATATTATTATTTTCAAAAATCATAGGGAATCGTGGGTGGTACTAGGTCAGTAAAAGTGTTTTTGTCGCACGCATTGTAAATGAGCTTAAACTATTGTCTATATTATACATATGAATGTCTTTAAACACAAATAATACATTGCTTTTGCATTATTCCGACCTTTTATTATATTACGCAGATATACACATACAGGTTTTTAATTTTTAATTCATATATTACAATCTAGTTACTAACTCGTTTTCATCCGACCGAACAAAATTACCTAGATTTTAAAAAAAATATGTCACTATTGGCTACTATATAAATAACTTGATACGACATTCATAGTTTGTATAATCAATAATAATTACCTATACTTTATTAATTATTAGTATAATTTGGACTGATTCGCTCTATAATAAAATAAAAGGCTGATTCTTATAAAATATGGGAATATACCTAATATCTTAATATTATAAGTGGGTTGTCCAAACTCTGAACTCACAAGTCAGTAGTACCTATACAGTATACAGGACATAATATTAAATGGAACCCTATTAAAAATTCCATATAAAAATATCCTATTAATTTGAATAATGTTTTTGACTTTTTGCTATCAAAAGCTTATTAAAATAGTAGATAGGTTCTTATAAATATACACGAATGTGTTTTGACTCGTGTTGAACTATAAATAGATGAAAGGCATGTGATATTCTTGATTATTATTAGTTTTTTTAAGCTAATGTCGATTAATTTTTACGGCATTGGATATTCACAAGATTTCTCGTGTACCGATTTTCTTATTTTGTTGTAATTCAAAAATGAATAACTGTAGATTCTTGAAATTTGCACCATGTGTTTATTTTATTAATTCATATAGGTACTTGATAAAATGTTCAAAAAATGTTGACTCGTTCTGAACTGTTTACTGTCATTTTAATTCATAAATTGTTTTAGTTTTTTTTCTATAAATGCCAATACAATTTTATTTGTTCGTTAAAAATGCTTGAACATTTAATACAAGACTCTTGATGTATTTTTTTACTATCAGTTGATAAATATCAAAAATACATGACCATGATTTTGTTTATGAGCATTTAAAGCACAAAATCAAAATCTATTGTACAGCGTCTAAGCGTAATCGTCTTTTTTTATTTATGACTTATTAATTTAGTGACCTAGTATTATAAATTGTTTCATAATTATTTAAAACTAAACTATATTTTCACAATTATAGTTTTTAAATTATAGAAGTGTAACGTGTTAGAACTTTGTAAGTTTATAATTGTATAAAGTACCTAAGTATATAAAAATAAAAGTTATACTACTGTATAACTAATAATTCTATAAGTTAGTTTATTTTTGATCACTTAAGATTCTAGTTTTTCTGATATTATTTATAATTTATAATACAATGAATAACAATATACACCGTATTTCATATACTTATACATTTTTAAAGTAACAAAATTGAATTTATAACCATTAACATATTATAGTAATTCTTAAGCCTTGGTTTATAAGTTCCAACTTTCCAAGTTATTAATTCTCAATGTTTTCTGTGTATTATCGGTGTATTCTTTCTAATAGTCTATAACTTTAAGCGAAAACAATTTAAAAAATAAATTTTTTTTCATAATTGCATTGAAATATATTACAATTAATTCAGTACTCTAATTGTGCAATGTTCAATAAACACTTAAAATTAATAAATTAAAAAATAAGAATGTCTAAAAATAATATTGAACATGTGAAGTATTGTAATATGTATAATATAATATGATTATAATTATTATTACGTTGCTCCGTTGTTCCGGTGGTGGCGATTACACGACGGTGGCATAATACCATTTTAATCGAAAAAATTAATAATTCTTTTATTTTTTTTCCTTTTCTCTTGGGTATTTTATATCACCCCTAAGCTAGATCCATGTCACCTGTTGAACAACATATCAATCTGGTCGAGAAACACTGAAATAACCAATTGCTAATTCTTCATTGATCCATGTAAAAATTTTGTAACTATAATAAACAAAAGTATATTATTATTTGTTAGTATTATTATAAAAATGTCACTAATTTGCAAAAAAAAAATCGGATAAGTGAATATCGTTCTGCTATACAATAAGTTACTAGAGGGTCACTGTGATGGATGGTGTTAAATTTTAATTCAATGATATACAACCATTGTTTACGAAAAGCGATTCCTTTTAAAAAACTAAAAAACCAGAATTGTTCTTATGCTTATAAATGTCTCAAAAAGATTGGTAATATTTCTTAAATTTTATGGTGCTTATAGAAATTTCTTTCATAAAAATTTCGTGAAAATTTGATCTATGTATGGTTATTTTGATAGAGTAACACTAAAAAACAAAATCAATTTTTTCAAAATCTGGTTTGGCGTAAAAATTCCTGTTTTTCTTAATTTTTTGTTTTTTTTCTTGTCACTTTTGAAAACTATTGAGAATTGGACCAACTGGATTCACTTTCCTACCAATCGAGTAGATGTATTGAATGTTAACCAACTATTTAAGTTTAGTTTAGTTTCCATCAACTATTCAAATCAAGTCATAGATATAGTTAAGTAAGTTTCAAATAAGTTTAATCAGAAAGCGGTCGAAGAGCATAATGTTATATATTTGGTGTGGACAATGATTTACGAGAAGTACTACGAAACTACTCCTTTAAATACGTTTTTATATTTTATCTGAGAATTTAAAATACTATTGAAATATTTTATGTTTTGCCAAGGCCAACAACGAATTAAAAACATTTATGTCCTAAAAATATGTTAAAATAGCTTATCGACCAATATTTTAGTGTTTTATAGATGTGCAGTACGTATCATTATTTTATTAATTATTATATAATCATTATTCATTAGGTATACCATCTCTTGATAATTGTGTCTCGAATGTCTGATAAAATACCAATACTTATGTACAACTATAATTACAAGTTGCTTATTGTATTCTAAAAAATAGATCAAATTAGGTATCTATTATTATTATAAATTGGCCAATGGCCATAAAATTATCTTAACTACGTATAAATGCTTACATATAAATTTGTCTGTAAATGATTTAATAGAGGCTTATCAATTTTATGCCTACCAAGATTTCTCAGAAAACAAATATATAAATATTCATATGAATTATTATTTATTTTGATATTATTTATTTAAATATGAATGTACTGATGTCATTACTGTACGTTTAGTCGTATACATTACATTTATCGATAGTCGTCCTGTATCAGCAGCACACCAAATGAATTGACCCCGGGATCCACACTACTAGCGTATTTAAATAAAAATTAACCATTTTATTTTACTCACCAATGTAACATTGAGTACAATATAATATTATCTTGAATATAAAAATATATGTACCTATCATATAATATCATTGAGACATTCAGTATAATATACTGAATATATATATATATATATATATTGTACAATATAATATCGTCAATGATAATATTATGTTTATTAGTAATTACTAGTACCTAGGTATAAATATTTTTACAATTTATGCTCAATGGTAATACATAGTTAATAATAAATAACAACCTATATTATAAAAATATCAAAATGTACATTTCAATATTTAAATACATGTTTATAATTTAAATTATATCTAATGGAACATTCAACAAGGATCTTATAATTATATTTAATTATGTAGTATATCAGAATATTCCTAAAAAAAAAAATGTATTTGTTACGAATACGGCGCACAATCAGCAACCCATAGGTAAAGAATAATACCGAGTAGCTAGATATTTATTAGCTTAGCTCAATTACAAATACATTTACGTAATAGAATCAATCATCTAAACGGTATTAATAATGTTAAATATTAATGTATCAAATTGTAGCAAACAAATTTTACTGCTTAATCGCGAATAGTGGAATGCATATCGAACATCTTAACAGGATCTATTCAACCGCATCTTCAGGTAATTAGGAATAGCGCAACATCTCCCATTTTAATCAAAAGAACTTTAATCAAATACCGCCTAAATACAAAGGAAAGATAACATCATCATATTTTTAATAACATACAAATATATGTAAAAAAAGAAACCATTGTCATCAGAAATAAAAATAATATTTACTCACTTTTCTATACATTATTAAATAGTAAAAACAAATTATTCAAATAATATGTGCCTACCTAACAAAACAATTTAACATGCATAATTATATGATTATATAAAATCATGAACAACAACTCCTTGATTCAATATTGACTCGAAAACTTGCTACAAAAACACAATAACATTGTAACTTGTACATTTTACAGTCAATCTACAAACAATTTACACTACACTTTAATTCGTACAAAATTATAAACCTCAAAGTATCTAATGAAATAAAAACCATATCTAAATATGATCAAAATTATTATTGTCGTACCTAAAATAACTGGAGGTACAACAGTATAACTAACTTGTTTGTAGGTACAGTAAAAAACGCGGGAAATATTATCGGCAACCAATACTATATGAATTAAGTCTGATAACTAAGCTTACAATATTTGTAAGCCTCGTTCGTCAGATAATATCAAATAATATACATTTTTATCTCACTTCAAACGCCGAACCAGAAATGACCGAAATTAATATCCCTATTAAACTAAGCTTAGTTGGAGGCAACTAATTATTTAAAATTTTAAACAATATTGACATTAGTATTACTCATATATATACCTAGTGATTCTTTTATCATTGAACACTCATTATTTCAAAAATTATAAATGTTTTTCTCAAATATAATTGATACTTATTTATGCTAGGTCGTTATTACTATATCCTGTAACGGTAATAACTTCTACAAATAATTGATTATACTCAAAATATATGGTTTGTACTTTACTTTCATTTCATAAGATTTATACCACACCAAGCCAAATGGAGGTAGGGAGCTGAACGCTGAAACTTCCTTATAGCTCCCCCTGGGTACACCGTACACCACTGCTTATAACTCATAAACTAACCCAAATTGCCTTTATATATACTCTAAGACTCACATATACGAATATACGATCAATTTTGGAGTAAGAAGCTATTATATCTGGTCTCCTTACACGATTAGGAACACTCAGAGATTTTAAAGAGTCCAAAACCACTTCTTAAGTATCGCAGGGCATAGCCTCAATGTAGCTCATCCGCCTCAAGATTACAGGATCATTACTGACATATTTAAATAATTGAAGTCACTTTCTGAACATCATATTATTTCTACTTTTCGTTTTATTCAGCCATTGATTGATGGCAACATCGACGCATCTCGAATACTGGAACGAGTGGAACGTCTGGAACGACTTAATGTCCTCATCTCTGGTAATACAAGTACGAGTACCTAGTAAAGATTTTTTTACATTCCACTAAGACGTAACAATGCCCCCTTAATAAGAATAATGTCCATATTTAATAATTATCAATAATTTCGTACTTAGAAACACTCGTCATTTTTATTTATATATAACACATAAATGTTTTATTATAGTTTACTTATACTTAGTATTGTATCACATTACTTTTTTTGTCAATATTACTATAAAAGCAGACTCGAATTAATTAATCAAATAAATACATGTCCTAAATCTTATATTTATGTATCAAAATACTAGGGAAAATATTCTTTTTTCAAAAATAAAATTAAAACTGAATGTAGTAATTCAAAGAAGTTAAAAGAATAAAGAATAAAAATATAATCATTAAAAAAAAAAAAAATGTGTGTGTTGTAACAACTTGAAATCACGTGCAATAATATTTTCAAAAATATTAATACTTTTTGAAATAATAAGTATTTTACGTTAAATGAATCACCAGGTAAAGTGATCTACCGTTTGTATATGATTACAGTGAGAAAATATAAGCTATCGGCCTACGATTAACTTTTTTTCTAACATCGACCCGATAATTTCCATTGATAAAATATAAAAACCGCATACAGTTTAGTCTTAGAATAATAAATATCTCACCGTGGACAATTCGTTGTTGAAATATGATTAATTAATTATTGATTCAAATCAATTAATCAATTTTTTAGTGAGATTATCAAGTTAATGGTTCCCTATGGGCGATGGATCTTTTAGAAATAAGAGTACTATCTAGTGAATCTTGTAGGTTTTGTATATTTTAATTTTAAAGAGAGTTATGAGTATCTTAAGAGTTAAGATGCACAAACAATTTACAATTATGAATATTTGTATCAATTGTATCTAATGCTGATACCTACTGATATTTGATGCGTGTCTAATCTACGCTCTACGCTCACCATGAACGGTTATTAATCATACAAAAATATTCAGTACCCGCATAAAACGAAAGATTAATCCATTACTTATTATTATAGTTATAAGTTATAACTGTTATTAAGTAAATAAAAAATGAAAGGTTTACAATGAAATTAAAATACAAATATTAAATATTATAATGGTTATTATTATAATGTAACCGTTTCTAAGCTAATGATATCTTTGTTATTACATTTTTATTTATTTGATAAATCAAAAAATTTCTATATTTTTTCAGCTCATTATCAACAATACACCTAGGTTGTGAAGAATTTGGATCACAATCTGCGAGCTGGTGAATCTCAAAAGCACGTTTTTCTATTCTATATTGTATTATGTTTATTATCCACTGTTTTATTTATCGAATTATCAAAAAAAAATATTTTATAAAGCTTTTTTTAAGTAATATCTGTAAATATTGTGTTATAATTAAATGAAATACACAATTAAGTTATAAAATAACTAAGGTAATTAATACATACACATCATCATGTTATATAAAAAAAGTCAATTTTCAATGGACAATTTAGGTATTATATATGTAGGTATATTATAAACCTATATATTTTTTTACCTACTCTCCTTTTTACAAATTATTTTAAAATATATTGAATTTATAAATTTGGTATTTGACATTTATTTGGTTATTTTAATGTTGGTAAATATGTAGGTCTTAAAAGTTTCTAAATATTTTTTCTGGTTTAAATCAGGTTTTTTAATATATGTAACCATGTAAGAATTTAATGTGTGTGGGTAGGTGTGCAGACTATGTCTTTATTCTCTTACAGTATATGCGCGTAATACATCTTTGACATTTGTTTAACATTATTGTTTATAATTTATTATGGGTTCTTAGAAAATTGATTTGGGTTTATTGACAAGTTACGATGGCAGTGGCGTAGGTATTGTTCAATTGTTGTGTTTAGAATTTAAATTTTTTCCATAATTTATTTTTTTACTTATGGTCAGGAAAAAAAATTGAATTGAGACTCATAAGAATTCAAATTATTTTTCTAAATTAAAACTGGATCATAGGAAATGTTTACTATGAAAATATATTATTATAAATATATTATTATGTTCATTTTTCTTTCTTTTGTCACTGGTCTATAAATGCAAACAAAAAATTAACATATTCTTCCGATCTCCAAACAGTGGTCCGGGCTCTTACACTGTTAAACTAAACAGTAAAGAGTAAACAGCAAGAAATAATAATAGGTTATAGGTATTCACGTTTTCTGTGGGTAGTTGTGGCCTAGTGGCACTGTATAGCATATCATCCACTGCTGCTGCCCAGGTCGGCCGAACTCCATTTTGGCAAACTTAAAAAGAACACGATTTTGCAAAACCGTTCCCGCACCGGTCACCATCTTATAAAATATGCAAAATGACATTCTGGGGATGAAAGATTGCGAAAAGAGGTGGTTCATGTACCAGGGATCCATGCCCTAGTCGTATTACTACCCTCGCTGGCCGCCCATCGTATTATATCGTCTTAGTGATAACCTCAGATCATATGTATATGATTTAAGATGATAACAATACACACAAAATTACTATCAAAATAATTTTTCTAACAAATTTTTTGTTTTTATTTAGAAGTCGTCAAAAAGTCATTAATATTTGAAAAGTAAGTAACTAAATTAAAAATGTTCATACTCATTAATCATATCAATAACTTCATATGAATTAATTATTTTAATCATAACTGTAAATCTTTTGTTATTGAACTTCTGGTGAAACACTTAGTATCCAATTTTAAAAAAGTCGGATGAACAGAGAACCTCAAAAATCCAAGAAGTTACAGAAAAAAATTAATTGGTCGCTATAATTTGAATAACACTGAATAAAATTTAACTCTAGCAGTTAAATCCTTAAATAAAATCAACTTTGTTTACGAAAACTCTTTAATTCAAATTGTGTAATTATTAATTTGGCTAGTTGCATATAATATTATGAATAAATGTGGTCCAATTATTATTTTTAAATGTAATTTAGAGTAGTCCATTTCAAAACTAAAATTGACCTAAGTAGTTTTTAATGAAAATCATTTGCCCGGTTCACTTGCTCCAACATTTTCAGAAAAAAAACCACTTTTTAGCTCAAAAAAATATATAAAAAGTTTATAAAAAAAAGTCATTCATTATTGCATACATACGTATGGGCTATATATTTCAAGTTTCAATCATTTTGATCAGATGGATTCTTTAGAATCTTAAAAAATATATCAACAACTGGCCCACTTCATCCCTTGTTATGGTATTTCTAAACAAAATAATCTGAATAAGATAGACAAAAATCCTAACAAAAATGAATCACTAAAACAGATGTATAACGTTTACCATTTTTATTATAAGTTGACTATAATTATACTGTTGTGAAGTATAATTAATATTCATACAGAATGTTTTATTATTAACCTTTGCGTTTATTTATAATAAATTAAATTAAATCTATCCAATATCAATTATATTATTTAGTGTTATAGCTTCCTAAGTAACTCTCATACTAGCAAATTCCTCTTGAATCAAGTTGCATTGAAATTGATTTTCACCAAAGATGAATGTTACCATATAGATACCCAAACTCAGATTCCAACTTACAATTAAACAAACTTATGTTAGACAAACGTTACGACTGTAGGCACTGTAACCAATCACTCTCCAGACCTTTCCAGACTCTCTGACCAGACCAACTCAGTCAAAATTCTTCAAGGTTGGATTAGAAACACATCTATAAGCAAGCCACACTTTAACATGTACTTTGAACTTCTGTCTAAGGTATCTGAAGTTGAGAAAAACAGTTAGGTACTGTTGATAGCAATTTATACTTTCAATGGGGTATTTTTTTAAAGTGTATTCTCAACATACTTTTTTTTATAAGTAACTTTTAACTGAATGGGTTAATTTTTTTTCTTTGTCAATTAACTTATGATTTAATTAATTGTATTGTCAAGTTAGGTTAATTTTTTTTCTAAGACCACCGATTTAAAATATTTTCTATTTTGTAACAATTGTTTAAAAAATAAATAACATTAATTGGATGTATCAAATATTATTAGTAAATATAATAAGTAACAAATAATAATTTATAACAATGTTTATAATATTACTCATTCATAGAATATGAATACTGTACAATATGTTATAAATAGAAAAGATATACCTAAGAGTAACCAATTTTTTGAGAAAATGAAAAATATAATTATTTACTTTTCCAGTATCCTGTACACATTTGTATACTCATTAATTATTATTAATCAATAGTTATGACTTAGGTATTATTTTATTTTTATTTATTTGTTGACTTCCAACTGAATTGAATATAATATTTTTTATTATAGTATGCGTAAGTAATTAATTATATTTGAATAATTTATTTGGTTATTATAAACATAGTTAAATTATTGCTAGCTGTTAGTTACTTAAACAAATACATAAAACTTATTTAATTATTTTGTTTAGTTTCGTCATTGATTAAAGTATTAAAGTATATAAGTACAAATTATAGACATATTTTATTTAAAACTGCAATAATTTAAATAATTTCTATGTTATTTGTTCGCTTAAAAAAAATGTGTAATTATAAATTTCATGTGAAAAAACTATCTAAATTTCAACTAAGTCACATTAACTTTCTAATTATAATGTAGTTTAGCAAGTTTATAATAAGAGAAAAGCAAATTTTAGACTCTGATCAAAGTGATGAATGAATTGATTTTACAATGATGTGTGTTTAATTATTTTATTTTTTTTGTGCCTGGCTTCATGGTTTGGGGCAGTAAATGTGCTTAGTTTTTCTTCAACAGAAATTTTTCTGGTAGGAAAGTGGATCTAGTTCGTGCATTCAGGAGGTCAAAATTTGAAATTCCCAATTTTTTTTAAAAGTGACAGGAAAAACAAAAAATTAAGGAAACACTAGCATTTTTAAGCAATACCAGTTTTCGAAAATATCTATTTTGGTTTTTAGTATAACTCTAAAAAAATTATCATAGACACATGCAATTTTTACTGAATGGTTGTGTTAGCATTTTATAAACACCATACAATTTTCAAAATATTTTGACTAGTGTAGAACTATTTATGGGCTTATGAAATGTTTGATTATTATTATTTTTTTTAACTTATGTCGATAAAAATTGTTTGCTGCCTTAAAATACTTGTAAATGTAATACACGGTTCCTCTTAGGTTGATGTTAGTAAAAAAAAAATTGAGCTTAAGTTCACAATAATTTTTTATGAGCGTTTGAATTTTGACAAAAATCACAAAAATTAGCTAATTAGAGTTAGAAATGCATAAAATGTTTTCTTTATATATCTATGATTTTTGAAATTTGATGCAAGATTATTATAAGTTTGCCTACCTCTATCAAACAAAAACATTTCTTCTGAAAAGTCTAATTAAATGTTTATGAGCGTTTGAAGTTAAAATTTTTACAACATTTAATATTCACTCGATTTCTCATGTAGCAATTTTCTTATTTAGTTATAATTTAAAAACAAATAACTATAGACACTTAAATACAAGACTCTAGATATATTATTTTAATAGCAGTTGAAAAATATTAAAAGTACATAGGTTCAATTTTTTTTATAAGAATTCAAAGTTCAAATTTTGACAAAATTTATCAAATTGAAAATTGAAAAATGATTTTGTAGTTAAAAATATATACAATTTTCAATTTGTATAGCTAAGGATTGAAAATTTAAAACAAGGTTCCATTTAAGCAGTTTTTCCTTAACTTTAAAATCTAAAAAGTTAATAAAAATACAGTTATTTTTTACCGACATTCTGAGTTCAAATTTTTGACAAAATTACATATTAACATAAAGATTAACGATTTTTGTCATTTTGTTGTAATTCAGTTCCAAAACAAACCAATTTTACATAAGTTTATTTAATATTTTTAAAGCATCATTTTAAGCTTTAATTTTAAATCAAATTAATTTAAGAATAATGTTAAATCAACTTACAGTCTACCGTAGGTATTAAATATTAATAGTAAGTAATAACAATATAAAATATCCTAAACTGATATACCGTCTGCTCAGAATCGTTTTTTGTGTACAATGATATTATATACTTGAATTCAAATTTAATACAATCCAATACAGTGACCTCCTAGACACCTTATTTATAGCAGAGTGACATTCTTTTACTCGATTTTTTTTATATTAACTTAAATGCATTAGTACAAAAAATACAGAACTTTCCCATCTTTGATAATATGTGAGGTAAATAAAAATATTTCAACTTTAATACCAAAAATAAATGTTTTAGTTGGAAGGGGAGGAATTCTGAAGACTTATATAATAATTAATATTCATGAATTAGAAATA